CTCTGCTACAGGCAGACGTCGAAGCTTGTCACGCGCCTCGCGCAGCATCTTGTCGGACTTGGTGTTGAGCCTGGTATGCCTGTGCCTATCATTCTTGGCAAGACCCGGTGGTCAGCTGTTGCGATTCTTTCTGTTCTCAAGGCCGGCGGCTGCTTCGTTCCCTTGAATGACGATGACGACTCATTTGCCTACAAGGTTGTCAAGCAAATTGGCGCTAAGATTGTTCTCTCTACGAATATGGGTGAGAATCGCCTGGGGTCCTTGGTTGAGAACCTTGTCGTCGTCAATGATTCTCTCTTCTCTGCTTCGCTTCTGGATAAAAAGGAGTGTCCTAGACCCAACATGGGTGACCCGGCTTGCGTGCTCTTCCTCTCTCCTTCACCTAGTAGATCCAAGGAGGCGAGGGGTATCTTTTTCACTCACGAGGCCCTAAGCACAGCCTTCGTCGCTCAGGGACCGGCCCTTGGCATTAGCGCCTCGAGTCGAGTGTTGCAGCTCTCTTCGTTTGCTTCGGATACCTCACTCTCGGAGATTTTTACCACGCTGGTTCATGGCGGGTGCGTTTGCGTGCCTTCGGATTCTGAGCGGGTTCATGACCTGGCCGGAGCTATCCGGAGACTTGAGGCCGATTGGACGTACATCACCCCAGTCCTCGCTCGTCGACTTAGGCCCGTGGAAATTCCTACGGTTCAGACAATTTGCTTCCGCACCAGACATCTTGACGAGGATACTTTCAGCCGATGGTCCAAGCACGCCAAGGTTCTTCTCTCGTACGGAACCTCGGACATTTGCCCCTTAGGTATCTCTATCATCGAGGCAGCGACGGCCGAACACCTCTCGCGCATTGCTCCTCCGTTTATTGGCAAATTCTGGATCGTCAACCCCGAGGATCACAGACACTTGATGCCTATTGGCGCTGTTGGAGAACTCGTCGTTGAGAGCCCTACCCTCGCTTATAAACTAATGAAGGGCTATACCCCCATCGGGACCTTGAAGGCACAGCAGCAGGTCCGCAGCGATGATGACGACGGACAACTCAAAGCTCGATTCTTCAAGACTGGCCATCGTGTGCGGTACATGAATGACGGCACGATGGAGCTTATCCCGAATCGACGAGATGATCTTTCCCTCGGTGGAAACGTTATTCCCGTGCCTGCCGTTGAGCAACATCTTCGGCGCTGCCTCGGCATCGATGTTGAGGTCCTCGTAGACACCGTTTTGACCAAGGATTCTTGCCACGTCCTAACGGCCTTCGTCGAGCTCCGCGAGCACTTTAGCGGAGTGGACGAGCTAAATATGCTTTCTTCCATGACCAGAGAGCGCTCTTTCATGGCCAAGAGGCTTATCGAGTCGTACATGAACACCAATCTACCTTCGTACATGATGCCAAGGGCTGTTGTTCCCATCCGCTCTTTCCCGATGACGCCGTCTCTCAAGATTCACCGCCGCAAGCTTCAAAAGATGGCAAGTGCGCTTAGCGAGGCGGAGCTTATCGGGCTTGCTAGCGCATCTCATCCGGAGGGGATCAAGACGCCTCAGATTAAGCCTCTGCCCTTGACGCAGGTTGAGGAGCGCATGAGGTCTATCTGGGCGCAGCTGCTTGAAGTTGATCCCAAGAGTATCTCCGGCACGCAGAGTTTCGTCAGGCTTGGAGGAGATGTGCATCTCGTTGCGAAGCTCGTCGTTACTTGCCGCAAGGAGGGACTCGTTATCCGCCTCTGCGACGTCTTGAGGAATAATCTGTCGCTGACGGATCTGTGCCAGTCCATCACGCTCTCTGAGGAGCGCATTTCTTGGATTACGCCACCGGAGAGCCAGCCGTCGGTTTTGGCGATGTCGCCCGAGGCTTTGGCGGCTCTCCGGCATGTCAAGTCGACGGTTGCACCCACGGTGGGCATCGAGGAGGCATGGATTGCCGATATCGCACCGACGACTTCCACCCAGATTCGTGGCCTCGAATCGGCTCTTCGCGGTTCTCGCGCTGGCGTCAATCATATCGTGCTCAACTTTACGGGGTTTGTCGATTATAAGAAGATTGAGTTGGCTTGCAGCGAGCTCGTCAAGATTCATCCGATCCTGAGGACTGCGTTTGTTACGTATGATCGTAGGGTTTACCAGGTTATCCTGAAGGACGGGGCGCAGGCTCTGCCTCTTACTAGGGTGCATTGCCCTACCTGGAGAGTCTCGGCTGTTATTGAAAAGATCGTCAAAAAGGACGAAACCCAACAACCAATTTCGCCCTCGGTCCCCGTTACAGCATTCACTTTCATCGACGCTGGCAAGCAGTCTGCTCTACTCCTGAGACTGTCCACAGCCCAGTACGACGACACCTCTCTGCCGCTTCTTCTCCAGGATCTCAAGCGCCTCTACTCCGGTGCTTCACAAAGCATGCCTCTCCAGCGGCCTTCCTTTGCTGATTTCGCACGCTGCGCCAAGGCCACCAACTCCCAGGCTACGCTTGACCACTGGAGGGGTCTCCTACAGGGGGCCACTATCACCCAAGTGATCGCCAACGTCAAGCCCCAGAAACCTTCTACGACTCCCCGCACGCTGTCAAAGTCTGTCAGCGTTCCCATGGCGACCATCTCGGAGCTCGGCATCACCTTTGATACGGTCCTCAAGGGAGCTTGGGCAATTGCCCTCGCCACACTCGCAGGGACTTCGGACGTCACCTTCGGCGAGGTGATTGACGGCCGACACGTCCGTGTACCTTGCGCCAGCGGCGTCACGGGCGTCTTTGGCCCGTTGACGAACATTATTCCCGTGCGCGTGCGGTTCCCCGATGCGCCTTCTACGCCTCTTGAAATCCTTAGGTGTCTGCACGAGCAGCGGCTCGCGGCGATTCCGTTTGAGAACTTGGGCATGTACGAGCTTGTGGAGAAGTGCACGGACTGGCCTTATTGGAGCCGGTTTAGCACCGTGGTGCAGCACCGCCGACACCGCGATGGTTTTGGGCTTGGTGGCGATTCGCAGACATTCAATATCGGAGGCGCCACGTGCAACGTCTCCGTCGTCGAATCGCAGTACAAGGACGTCCACGATCTGTTCATCTCGTCGGTACAATCCGGTGCTGGCGCTGACAAGGCGGATATGGCCATCAACATCACATTCTGCGAGAACCGCGTGCCCGTTAGCTTTGCGGAGCTAGCGATGGCCATGCTCGTCTCCGCCATCGAGTCTCTCACTACACCGGTGTCCATGTCCGAACCGCTGGTTCCCTCGGGAATCGATCTCTGCCATGCTGCGCGGCAGATCCCTCTCCCGCACGTCGACTTCGACCCGCCCGCCACGCCGCAAAGCCATCTCCTCCCCGCCGCGGACCTAAGGGATCTCCAGCGAATTATCTCAACGGCGTGGACGGACCTCCTCGATCCGCTTGCGCACGGCGTGCCTGAGCCTCACCTTCAGACTGCGTCGTTCTACGATCTCTGGGGCAGTCTCATGCCCGCGCACCTACTCGCCACGCGGCTCACGTCGGACATCGCCGGCCTTCACCTCTCTGTTGACATCGATGGCCTTTCTATCTCCATGGATGAAGTCATTGATAACCCGTCGCAGCAGAAACAGCTCGAGCTGCTGGCGCGCAAGATTCGAGATCCGCAGCGCTCGCTTCGGAACTCTACGACTACTTCTTTGCTTCGCGGGATCAGGCGTCTGTCTGCACGGGAGCACCATCACCAGCGCTCCTTGTCACTTTCGCATACGCCATCTACCGCCTCGACGCAGAGCAGTGTCTATTCTTCTGTGAAATCGGTTGCAACGGGGCCCAGTGTGCTCGTGTCGCCCATTAGCGAGGATAGGGAGGTTACTACTTTTGGGACCCACGGTGTGGCACGTCGGCCGACAGAGGGGGAAAGCGGCGATGTTATTAGCCCGCTCGGATCTTCGGTGTATTCCCCGGTTGTGTCCGGCATGGGGAGAACGCGGAGCGATGGCTCGCCTGTGGATGGGGGCATGGCTTCTTCTCCTTCTGCATCGCAGTATCAGAGTCGGATGATTATGAAGAGGGCTTCAAGGGTTTTGGAGAAGATGAGGTTTTCTGGGCCGGTGGTAAATTCGGCGTCTTAGCGGTTGTCAATCACTTTACTTTTTCTCTCTTCCTTTTTTTTTTTTTTTTTTTTTTTTTTTTTTTTTTTGTTCTAAGTATTTTGATTTCCTTTGTGTTCTGGGGTTGGGGATTTCTTTCGGGAGGTTTTTATCGCGGAGTTTCAAGGAAAAGGAAGACGAAGGCGCAAGATACCAGGGAAGGAACGGTCAATGAATTCTGGGCGAAAAAGGTTTCACGACGAGCATAGTTTTCAAACATTTTATTCTTCGAGTTTGTGTGTCGAGATATTTGATCCCATTGTTCTTTCTGTTAAAGATTCAAGATTCAATTTCCATTCAAGAAAAAGCAAGTAAATTCAAAGTAAAAATGTGGCAATCTCCGGACCTGCATAAGACGGAATAACGAGCCGACAATCTCAATCAGCATCCAAGAAGATGGTTCCCCTTTCTCTATGGCCAAATGGTTAAGGCGTCCGACTGTTATCCACTCTCGTGGCGGAAAATCGGAAGATTCCAAGTTCGACCCTTGGTAGGGAAGTTGATTTTCTTTTTTTTGGGGTGGTCTCATTTTCATCTTCACCTTTTGAGATTTCTGTCTGCGTTTCAAAGTGTCATGAACTCCCCCGTTTATTTTTGTCTTCTCTTTTCACTTTGTTTTATTTGAACAATTTGTTGCTCCCCGGGTTCCTGGGTAAGTGGAGAGACAGCAGTGTGGTTGAGGAAATTAAGAAATATCAACATTATTACTTGTACACACAGAGGAGATGCCTGGGTTGGCACCCCCCTCATCTCCCAGATTCTCATCTCCCAGATTCCCATCTCCCAGTTCTGCCCCTGTGGATGAAGAAAGAGCGGAGAAACAGGAAAACGAGAAGGGGGAGGGAGGGAGAGAAACCAAACGTCGAGACAAAAGCCAGCCATCCACGGAAACGCCTAAAAGCAAAACGCCAGCTCTAATGAAACTCGCCTATCCTAGGCCCAAAATACTCCGTCGTCAACTCCCCCAACTTCTTCAACACGCACGGCGTCGCCTCGCACCCCCTCGAGTTGACCGACACCCCCCACCAGTCGATCTTGACTTCGAACCATTGGAGCGTAAAGTAGATGATGATGCTGCTAATGCCGATGCCAGTCGAGAATGCCGCGGACAGTGTAAAGTTGTACTAAGATAACGGCACGTTAGTTGAAAGGACGAACAACTCTCTGTCTCTCTCAGAGAACACACCTTTGACCATAGATCGAGGAATCGCTTCTTAAAGTAGATCCACGACAGCCACGAAATCGGCACTGCCGGCCACAGGTAGCTCATATTATACGGAGCCCACAGGATACCGCCGTACACCAGCACAACCGGATGGACCTGCCTGAGCCACGTCCACCTCGAAAACTTCGTCGAGAGGAAGTAGATGACCAGCACGGTCACCACGCCGAGCGGAAATCCCACCAGCGTCGCCGTGTACAACCCGCCGGGGCCCCAAATCCTCCTCGGTCCAATCGTGCCCCAGAACACCGAAGAAGTGAATATAACGTCGACATTCCAGCAAAAGAGCTTCATCGGCGCGTCGATCTCATCGCAGACGTTTGGGATCTTGTTCATCTGGTATACCTGGACACCCGTGCACACGAGCGTCGAGAGGAGAGTCGCCGCGACCTGTGCCGCGAAGGACTGCCGAGGGGGCACCTTTACGTAGTGGCCCAGCTTCAGGTTGTTCGAGAAACGAATGGCCTGCGCGCAGGTGACGTAGCCGAAGGTCTTGAAATAGTTCATGGATATGGCGTTACCTTCGACCATGGCGCCTCCGATAAGTTCGGCGAGGACGTTCAGCGTTACTTCGATCCCTGTCATGGCTTTGAGGAGACCGACGGGAATTATAAAAATCAACGCGAGGGCAATCCCGTAGAACACAACACCGGGGGTAGTATCCGTCTCGTAGGCCGCGATGCCAGCGATCCCCAATGCAGCAGCAACGACGAGGATAACGATAAACCACCAATCCGGCACCTCCCTGTAGGACTCCATCAGGCGGTTATGAACGTCGGGCACCCGTACCGTCTCGGCCTCACTCTTACCCCGAATGCTGGCCCACAGGGACTTTGCCGCGGTGACGATTTCACGCCGATGGTAAAGGATGACCCAGGTCAGGAGCGCCGTGTAAAGGGCAAAATAGGACAGGAAGAGAACAATGTTTCCGGCAGAGATGAACGGCGGCGAGTAGTCCTCGTACGCTTCATGATCTAGCATGCGATCCTCCCCGACGACGCGCGACGCAGAATATTGAAAGGCCTGGTTGTCGTAGAAGCGGCTCGAGTTAATGGGCAAGTAAGCAGTGTTGTAAGCATTCGTATACCAAAGGGCGAGGACGACGAACATGGAACAAAAGGCGCCGATGAACTTGTTAAAAGTACTAAAGAAAGGTATCATTAGTGGATCAACATTGTTGTCCCAGAGCAAGATGTTCCAGTCGAACGTTGGCCACGGATTGAGGCCAAGCCCAGTATTAAATCCGGTAATGGTATTAAGGTCTCGGTTCAGAGGATCGATCCACGACATCCAGCTGAAATTAGAAAGTGACGTCCAGAGGTAGTTTGGGAGGAAGAAGTATACCACCATGGCCGAAAATGAGGTGGCGAAAAAGAAACGCCTCGAAGCGCGGAACCTGATCCCGCCCGGCCCCTCGACTGACTTGTTGTTCAGTTCTCGACGCAGTGAGGTGTTGAGAGCGACGGTGACCAGTGAGGTCGGCCATACGCAGTAGGATGGGTAAACGAGGAAGCGCCGAGCAAGGCCAGCAAGCCCGTAGCCAATGAAGTTGGTTGAAAGACCAACGAGAATTTGATAACCAAAGGTACCGGCGAAAGATTGGTTGAAATAAGTTGGAAGGTATTGGATCCAAATGAGATTGTTGGTGTAGGGCGGAGAAAAGGAGACGTTGGCCATCATGGTGATAAGCATATGTTCCTTCTTGGAGAACCGCCCAGGATTGAGACTATGCCGGACGCCTAATATGGTGATCCCAACGTCGGGTAAGAAGTACTCGAGCAGTTTTCCGAGCAAGTACCCCAGGAGCTGGGTAACGTTACTCAGGACTATAATCGACGGTAATCGAATCGAGAATAGCTGGTTCACGAACGCAAGGGCGAAAGACAGCAAAAGCCCGATGAACCAGGCTCGGATCGTTGAACAGGGCGTGTTAGGGTCATCGGCGCTTTCAACTATAGCGCGGACCTCGGCGTAAGGGCTGCTGTTTGTTATTAACGCAGCCTCTAGCTTCATCTCGCGTATGAGGGCCTGGTGTTTCTGGGGATGTGTAAAGACCGAGTCATTGCCTATTCGCTGGTTAGCTAGTCTTTTTATGTTCTCCTCTCAAGCTCCGATCACATTAACTCTCTCAGTTCGTCGACTAGGGGAGAAGTTGGCTTCTCGACGAACCTATAAACTCTTCTATCCTCTTTACAACCGAGAGTGGCAAGTTGGGATCGTGCCTGTGGACTTTGTGGACTTTTTGCATTAACTGTGCGCAAGCTGTTAGGATCTGGACCGCTACCGACAAAATCGGTTTCCCCATCCCCACCGCAGCTTTTGGAACTTACCAGCTTGACTTCTTCCAATGTGTACTGCGCGGCGAATGCCCTCGCTTCGAGGAGGTCATCCTCAGTCACATGAAGATTGCTAGACATTGACGACTTAGTATTGCGCAACTAACGAAGACAAAGACAGAGTGACGGGCTAGAGAGCATTAAACCCGTTTTCCAGTAGCTGTTCAAACTTACTCTTCGGCATTTTCAAGAATCGCCTCCTCGTCAAGCGCACCGGCGGCCTGCTGCAGGGTATTGGTGAGTCTCTCGACCTGGCAATTCACAGACAGGAACCCTCACCCGAAACGACCTATTTCTTACATCTGAACCTCTCTCATTTCCATACGGACGTTGCCTCTCGCGTCCGGCTGAACTACTCTGCGGGGACACAGAGGGCTCGGAATCTGGAGTGTCACGCGCACGAGGCGCTACGGGTTCCCATTGACTCTTCTCGGGGTCTTCCGTCGTATTTCCCATGATGGGCGAGCTTGCCGACGGCCGTCCTAGAGCGTGCCGAAGCGATTATCGTTCACTACGCTGTTGGCGATGAACTGGGAGATTTGAAAGCCCCACGTGGCTTCATGAAGCATCCAGCCTTCTCGTTCGCTTCCGCTCTCAAAGATGTCAGATCGATTTTAGGTCCACATACGCGCACGAGCATTCTGTTCCGTCCGGGTCCCGTAAACGAGTGGAAGGCGTCGAATAGCTCCCGTCCGACGCAGCATAGAAAATGATAGCCAACCTCCGGTGGGAGAGAGCGGGGAAGGGGAGCGGAGGAATAACGGGCAATGTGGTAAGAAATGGAAGACGTTGCTAGCCCAGAGAAGGGAAGGAGATGGACTCTAACGGCTCAAGAAGCAGGGTGGTCCTCTACATCAGGAAAAGGAATTAATATAAAACCCGAACCTGGTGAACCACCTGTCAACTCAACCGCCTCTTATAATAGAAAACACCCCATGGCAGAATAAAGAAGTGTGGCAGCACGGGTAGCAGTAATAAACAACAGTGGTAATACGCAGATTTATTGATTGGGGGGTGTGTGGATGTGGGTGTGGACTGGAGAACGGAAATGAGAGCAACCCGGGAGGGAGTAGCGGAAAAGAATGTCCCCAAATCGGGGACGGCATCAATTGTGAACAAACAATATCAAAAGTGCAAGAAGCTGTTGGTCCTAGGAATCAGCTCTCCCAGGCCTTCGGGACAGCTGTTGGACACAGCTTGAACCGGGCTATTTGAGTTATCTCGTCTTATGCCCGGAGTGTAGGCCATGCGTATGGATGTCGCCTCCGGTCGCTCACATTAGTGCGCAATGCGGTTCCCGGAAATTGGCAAGCGGCGGTGAGCTGGTGAAGCTGGTGAAGCCGGACAGAAATGGTAATGGCAATGTCCGCTTATATTGAGATAGCATTCAACATTCGCAAAGAGGCCAACGACACAGGCAACCGGGAACTGGACGATGTGGCAGCCGCAATAGCAACAAACAACGAAAGTCTCCCTTAGGTTTGACGGCGACAATTCCTGGACAAATACGAACAATGCGGAGAAAGTAAACATAACCACGATACTTCAATATCAGAATGCACCTGCCCAAGCTGACTCGGTCTGGACATGTGAACACAGTTGTCGATTTGGATATAGAAGGAGCGGAACACCTTAAACTCAAGGCTCAACTCGAGGCGGGGCTCGTGTAAGCAGACTTGGTCGACAGGGAAGGAGCAATCTGGAATCGAGCCTCTATACACTCTAATCAAGCCTCCATCCTCACGTCTTTGCTAGAATGGAGGCAATCATCGCCTCGGAAACTGGCGTCATGACCGTTGTACGACGATATGTTAAAACCCCATATCGATGCCGTTTGCCATGGAAAGGATCACCTCGTCGCAGTTGGGCCGGGCAATTCAAAGTGTAGCTACGAGATGGTCCACATGCAAAGGCTCGCCCCGCATGACATGCTGCCTCCGACCTAGATCCAGTTAAAGGGGGCACTTTTTGTCTCCTATTAACCGCATTGGGTAGCTGCGCAATCTACCGGGCGACACTCTGGAAAGTGGTTTGAGTGGAGCGGTAATATATTTGGGCATGTATGATGGTCTCAAAACTAACATGCATATAAATTAATATCAAGTAGGGCGGGGCTATACCAGGCTTTGATCAGGGCCGTAGTCTCTCCGCATTCATGGCAGCGAAGCTCAAGCCTATGTACACACTCCTGCGGTTCGATTGAAGGCGGTCTCTCATGCTTGGAGATCTGGTGATGGATGAGGGAGGAATTGGGACAAAGTTGATGTTCCGCTTCGGGCAGGTAGTTTTTTGATCCTCGACACGATGGCCACAGATGGGAGGGAGCAGAGATCATTCTACCACGTGTCAGTTGAAGAGGGGTGTTTTATGGCGCTGCCTCGTCCTCAATTATCTCTCCTTCTCGCCGAGGGGTCTTCAAGTCGCGGGGCTCCGAGATTAACCCTGGCATTTTCTTACTGCCGGCCGCTTCTACCTGTGACAGGCTGCGGTCCAGTTTGGTCTCTAGTATAAAGACATCGCTTTCCACCACTCACTAGACATTCCGAATCGCCTTCTTCTGCAACATCAATTGTCTCATCGTTCACGTCACATCCTTCACCTCACAGTGGCCAAGCCCTCCTCCCAAGATCACTCACCTCGGCCCATTCCCCCCTTCCCCAAGTCACGACCACACTTTCCGGGACGCTCACTTTCTCACCCGACTCCCCAACAACAAAAAATTGACGGGTATCATCTTCAAAACGCTGGTTCGGCGATATGAGGCCCCCCTTCCAAGACCTCGCGATCCACAAATAGCATCCCTCACATTTTAGCCTAATTTGGCCGCTCATTCGGCTTCTCATTCACGCGCCCGCTGCTAAGACAACTAAACAAAGAGGGCAATAAACAAATGTTCTCTCGCTACTGTATGAATTAATGAAATGCTATTTTTAGTATTGTGCCCCCCTCGAGTAAAGCGGTTTGTGGCTTTTGGTGGCTCGAGGACCGAGCTTGGGAGGGAGTCTTGAATCTACATAAAAACTGTCTATAAAGAACGTAACGTAGACTGAGATCGAGATCAAAATAAGTCATCTCTCGAGAAAGACTCAGTGACAAAGAGAGGGAAAAAAAATACAAAGAAGGGGAGAGAGAACGGGAAGTGGAGTCCTGTCTCCAGATATCCATCCTCATATTGAAAAGACACACATCTGCCGAGGCCCAAGAATGAGCAGGCTGGCCTCCAAATCTTAGCAAGATATTCATGGGTGCCATCAAATAGATTTGTTTCGAAGGATTGAAGAGAGAGGGTGAGAGAAAGAGAGAGCCAAAAAAAAAAAAAAAAAAAAAAAAAAAAAAAAAAAGGAAAAGGAGGTCCGGAAGACAATCCTGCCGAGCGGAGATGCTGGCCTTGGGCGCCACATGCAACTCCCCGACGGCTGCTCCGCCTCATTCAAGTCCGGGGTCCGACTCTCGCCCGGCGCGCCGGAGCGCAACCTGAAAAAGGCAGGAAGCGCGCCAAAGAGTCGCCGTGGATCCAGTACTACACTCGATTCCCATTGGCAAAGGGAACTTTGAGGCTTCTTCTGTGTAAAGCAAAGTTACGAGTCACCGACACATTGATGAACATGGTTGCAAACGCATCGTGTTTGAAAAGTGGATTGATCTCTACTCATTAAGGAAGTGTAAATGCCGAGCGTAACTTAATATCTACTGAAGCAAAACGTAAATGCCCAAACTCCATTACCATCTCTTTTTTATCTTTCTTGTTTTTCTTTTCTTCTTTTCTTTTCGAATTTGCTTCTTTGCAGCACCAACTTCCTCCATTTTCCACCGGAGAAGCACCCTCTAGTTTTCATCATCACACACCTTCCTTAAGACTCCTCAGGAACGGTACCAGTGCCAAACAGCTCAAGGTACATCCTCTCCCTGGGGACACCGAGTCCCTCCAATCCCTTCCTCACAGCAAGCATCCACTCGACGGGCCCGCAAATGTAATACTCGGCGTTCTTGTTGCCGACATACAGATCCTTCTCGGCGTCGAGGGCAGCGAGATCAAGCTCCTTGGCGAAGTCGTAGTCGCGGCCCTTGACGTCCGTCTCGGGGTTGACAACGTCCAAGAAGATGTTGGTCTTGACGTTCTCGTGAGCCTTGGCGACGTCGCGAATATGCGCGCCGAAGCAGAAGTTGGCCTTGTCGCGCGAAGCCTGGATCCAGCTGATGGGGCGGTTCTTCATGACGGACTCGTTCGACTCGAGCACGGTGTCGAGGATGGAGCGGAGAGGGGTAACACCCACACCAGCCGAGAGGAGAACCATGGGGACGTCGGCCTTGGAGGCATCGGTGACATCAACGGAGAAGTCACCCTGGGGGCGCGAGAGCTCGACGACGTCGCCGACCTGGTACTTGTCGTGAAGGAGGTTGGACACGAGGCCGGTGATCTTGCCCGTGGCGATGTCCTCGATGGACGCGTTGGGCGTGGTGACCTCGCGCTTGATGCTCACGCGGTAGTACTTCTTGTCGGGGGTCTGGGCCTCGCTGAGACTGAACTGCCTGCTCTGAAGCAGACCGTCGATTCCGGGCACGGGAATCTGGAGACTGAGATACTGGCCGGGGAGGTACGCGGCAAGAGGCGTGACGCCATCGACGGGCTCCAGGAAGAAGCTGGTGACGGACTCAGTCTCGTCGACCCTCTTAACAATCTTGAACTTGCGCCAGCCCATGGGGACATCTCCGGCCGCCTTGTAAAGCTCCTGCTCGCGGTTGATAAACACCGTAGCGAGCTGATCATACGCGAGCGTCCAAGCCTCAGCAATCTCGGGCGTGATAGCCTCGCCCAAAACAGCACCGATGGCCTTCATCAGATGCTCGCCAACAATAGCATACTGATCAGGCTCGATGAACAGCGCCGCATGCTTATGGGCGATGCGCTCAACGGCGGCATGAAGCTTAGGAAGGTCGTCGATGTAGGTGGCGTAGGCGAGGACGGCGTCAGCGAGGGCCTTTTGCTGGGCTCCGGTCTGCTGGTTGCGCAGGCTGAAGACGTTCTTGAGCTCCGGGTGGGCGCCGAGCATGCTCTTGTAGAAGTAGGTGGTGATGGTCTGACCGTGCTCCTTGAGGACGGGAGCGGTCGACTTGACGATGTTGATCTGGTCTTGGGTGAGAGCCATTCTGGCGGGGGTGGTGGAGAGGAATCTGCGGAGGGGTTGGATGGTGGTTGTTGTGGTGAGTGCTGTGCGTCTGGCGAAGAGGCGAGAGGCGGATGAGAACATGGTGAAGAGGAAGAGGGAAGATGTATAAACTGAGAGGGGGCGGGAGGCGGAAAGGATGTGTTTATATATTGGTTTCAATGGTCTTGGAGAATTGGAGGTTAGAGAGGGGGGTTATAGGAAAAGTGAAACGGATCAATGTCTAATGAGGTCTAGACTTGGGAGGCGTTGAGTTGTGGAGTTGCGGTATGTACGATTTGTCACGATACCCCGTTGCCGGCTTGGAAATGGTCTTAGTCGAAGGCTCTTTTTTTTTAGTCTGCAGTTTGCAGTTGCAGTTGTGATGATGTGTACACCGATGGGATGAGAGGATGAAGGATCAAGCTTCTAAATTACACTAACAAAACTGCGCCTTTTTATCTTCAAACGTGCCACTCACCACATTTGGCCCATTGCCCCAGGCTACTCGCTAATTTTGGCATTGCGCCTAAGATCATCGTCATCACGTCGCGTTCCCACACGTGAACGGCAAAAAAGGGACCCTGAATCATTTCGTTCATTTTTTTTTTTTCGTGGAGCCTTGTTGCAACCGGGGGTTCCTGGGGCCACCCGGAACCGTTAGCTGGCGAACGCCGATGGCGACTTGGGGGGGTCTGGCTCGTGATGGAGCTTGGAAGAAGGGGGGAGCCACAGTGGCCACGCCGGGGAAAATGGCACCATATTTTTGGCTCTTCACTATGACGAGATGACTATTTGGGGAAGGGCCAGGTCCAGGGCCATTGAGAGCGTTGGGCCGCTTTCCAATAAAGCCGAATCCTTTGGAATCAGGGAAAAATTACTAGTCTCTCGGCAAGGGAGAAGTGAGTAAAAAAAATTGAGGAAAATACATACAAGGGAGAGTGAAAGCGAAAACGAAAATCGCCGCTCGTTATGAAAAATTTCCTGCCATAGTCGAGCGAGTGTGGATTATGTGGAATGAATGGCACGACGTGCGAGTTGAGCAACTCCGCGGAGCTTTATAGGCTTACATATGTAGAAAGAGCGCTCCGTGAGTGGCTCCTTTGCCTGTTTCGGGTGGGGCTTGGCGCCGGTGGCCCGGTGGGTCCGTCCGGAGCCAAGGTCGGGGACATTGGGGGGACATTTGGGGAAGGAACGATCAATTGATGTTCAGGCACGCCAAGTGACCAGTCTGGACTTGGATGGCTTCGGGTCGATGCGTCAATCCCCCTCTTCCCTGGCGGATGCTCACTGGTACCCTGATACTAATTCCTTCGTATATGTGCTCATCTGTTCATACTTGCGCCTGCAATGGAGCTTCCCTGCCCCTCACAGATCATCGATCTTGGGGATCTACAACGACCAGTCTAAATACGGCAATGGTCGATCATGACAACCCGCCAAACACGGGCACGCACATTACAGAGCCTAGTGAAGCAATACCAGAAGCACGAAAGAGCCCGCTAGACCGAGCCTAAAATGGAGTTACACACGGCTGAACCAGGCCTGGAAGTCCGAGTAGAGTTTCGCAGGGACGTCCCCAATCCAGGGGACGGAATACGTCAGGGTCCTCGCTTGCCTTGCAACGTGGGAAGGGCTGAAGATTAACTTTCTCGGTTCTTGGACCCTCGACGTGGTAGCACATTGTACTACTCTCTGATCCGGATGAAATCTAAGATCTTCGGCTCAACAAGAAAAGGAGAAAGAAAAATTTTCTTGTCCCCAGCGCTGCGGCACTGGTTCTCGTCGATGCCGTTGATTTGCTCGTTCGTCCGGATCATTACAGCGGAGATGCTCCGGAGAAGCATCATTGAGGGCGCCGGATGAGAACGCGGTACAATTCGCGGTCGCCGGGAGACAAAAAAAGGAAACACGAAATCTCGGTAAAGGCAATAATATCGATGATAATGGGCCCAGCAAAAAGAAAAAAACTAGTATAACCCAGCTTAAAACATCCTCAAACAACAAGGTTTACGTAGAAGATTCCGTTCCTGGCAGGGCAGAATGGGGCCGCGGAGTTAGTTCATCCAAAATGGGTCGATAGGCTCTGCTCCTCTGCCGATGCTGCTGAGCTTCCCAGCTTGGAGAGGGAGCCCCAGTCCTGGTTCGCGCTTGCCTTACGATAATTTCCCGGTCGACCCAGCTGGGGAAGGAGGCAAGGGCATAAAGCAGGTCCAAGGGACGCTAGTACAAAGGTACAGTCGGGATCTTCCGGGTCTGTGGGGCTTTTTTGAGAAGATGACGAAATAAACTTTGGAAGTCAGCGTCGCCATTCCGCTTCCCTCCAATCGGTGGCGAGCAGATTCCAATGCTCAGGCTCATCCGACTCCAAGCTCCAAGCTCCATCGCGGATCTGCCATACATTGCCTATCAAGGACAAGTCATCAGAGACCGGCAAATATTTGACGCTTGCGGCCAGGCTAGCTAGCAACTAACAACCCCATAATCGCACCATATATTCCCCGAACCCTGGCCCTGTTCCATTTCTTCCTTTTGCCTTCGATCTTACATCTCCACGGACATTAAGCATCGAGCTGACGATGTCAGCGTCTCAAAATACTAGCCAAGGCTCGCGATCCCCGTAGCCCGAACAAAGCTATCATTTCTTTCATTCTCGTCACGTAATCTAGCCGCGGGAAAGACGAGAAAAAGACGCGGATATCCGTTGGGTGTCTCCTGATGATCCTTGGCAGCACAGCTTTCCCGAAGCAGCGGAAGGGCATGTACTCCGTAGAGGGAAGCGGAGAGAGATGCCGAGAACAAAGATTGATTCCGGCTTGCTTCGGGGCCTGACCGAGGCTCCGTCTCTTGTCTCCGGTTCCCACTGCCACGTGGTGATCCGACTGCATGGCTGCATTCACTCCGCGGAAAACCGTTAGATCGGTTGCTGTATTTTTGAAGTCTTCTATGAAAATCTACCCTCCTCGCACCTCAGCTTGGGCTATTTCCTCTCTAGGGGACAAGACCAACCCAGATAAATAACATGGCAACTATACATAACCCTGCCAAAATCTATTCCCATCCATCCCAAACAATACCAAACAAACAACTCTTTTAAAATATCGTAGGTCAAACAATCATCAAGAAAAAAGAGGAGAGAACAGTGGCCATTGATGAGAGGGTGGCCGTTTAAGCACCTTGACCTGCTCAAGCACGCTCCAAGGGCTAGTACCGCCCTTAGCCGCCCTCATCTCCACGCTCGTGTCGTAGTTGAACACATTCTTAATATCCTCGCCAAACCTCTCATCCACGCCCTTGAACTGCTCATAGCTGAGCTCGTTCATAGGGATGCCCGTCTGCTGGGACAGCGCCACACACCGGCCAGAGATGTGGTGAGTCTCACGGAAAGGGACGCCCTTTCGGACGAGGTAATCGGCGAGGTCGGTAGCCAACATGAAGGGGTCAAGCGCAGCGCGCATCTTCTCGGGCTGAATCTTCAGCGTGGCAAGGACGCCCTCAGCGATCTGGATGCTGTCGCCGACAGTCTTGACGTGGTCGAGCATGGGCTCGACACTCTCCTGGAGATCTTTGTTGTAGGTACTTGGGAGGCCCTTGAGCGTCGTCATGAGCCCAACCACGTGGCCCATGGAGCGTCCCGCCTTGCCAAGGAGCATAACTTTCGCGCTTGGAGTTATTGACTTCGGCTGGACAAGGCACAAAGGGGACAGGACCTTGCGGGTCCAAACAATAACATTACGAAGAATTATTCGTATATCATATCCCGGAGAAATTGCTTTTTCTTCTTCTCTTGTCCAGTATTTAAAGAGGATACTCTCGAGCATGCACTAGTGTTCACCTGAAAACTGCGCCGCAGCAAACAGGTGAACGTCATAAGAATTGGTACATCTCTGACTCCAGGAGCAGGAAGCTGTCGAGATGGACACGAATAAGGGATGGGCAGGATCTCAATCGATTCCCCTTAACAGATCCTAAATGGTGTATGCCGAATCACAGCAACCCTCTGTAGGTACCTGTGTATTGGTCCAGGACTCTCTCCACCAGCCCTCAAGCAAGGCGCCGCCGTCCCAGCTCAGCCGCAAAAGAGCTTTGCAGTACTCTCAGTATTCGGGAGAGAACCTGGACATCCGCCAATCTAAAACCGCAATGACCTAGTGTAAAATCGCTGCGCATCTTGACAATCCTACGGTCCATTACGACGCCGTGTTGCCTTTAGCCAAGGAGACGTGTAAAGGCCATCTGGATATAGCTACCCACGCCCCGACAAGGGCTAGGTTGACTTCGTCTTCGTCTTTGTAGGTTCACGATTCGTTGACATCGCCCGAGAAGAGCTGGCCCATGCACTCAGAGCCGCCTATCCCTCCGATGGACGTGCTTTGTTTTCTTGAAGTTCGTCGAAATAACCGCGGAGCTACTGGATGATAAACTGCTCGGCATCTTCGGACACATGACACCCATGCCTCGTCCGATTGCCGTGAATGAATCCCATTACGATTGCATACGGATTCCGTGTCTTCGCCCTCGTCCCTACTGTGCGCCTCCGGTACGGGGATGCAAGTACTTCGGCGGCCGATCTCCATAGCCGTCGTCTCAGGCTTGCGTATCTGTCCGCCCATCTTGATAGCGGTCTCGCCATCGGGTAGCAGACGGGCAGCGCTTCGGGACAGGGAAACCGAGTTGTTCCCGCGAGTCCTTTCTTGGTAATGATTCGGCCCGTGGTCGTTGTTCTCAAAGTAACGAATCCATGCTTTTAACGACCTGAAGGCTGGGGCACTAATATTAACATCAATATTCTCTCCTCCACTCTTCTCGCTGGCTCGGAAAGTGAAATGGTATGGTCCTAAAATCGCGTAAGTAAGAAAGCATATGTGTTGGTAGAAAACGGATTGGAAGTAAATCAGGCCGAAGCGATGGTCCAACTGCAGATGTGGTCCTGGAGTCCTCAAGTTGATTGGTGTCCCAGACTGTTGGGACCATGCAGCACAACCCGACGTTGTATGAACATTCCCCTCCTCTCTCCTCTATCAACCGGCCCAATCATCATCACCACCCTTCCCTAACTTTGATATAACATCTACTCAATAGAAATAGATCCATCCTTCCAAGAAATATAGCATCACCCACCGCTCACCATGGACAACCCCCCAAACGAAAGCCAAGCAAGCCTCACAACCCCCTACATCGTCGAACCATCCTCCCAACACGCCCACACCCTCATCCTCCTCCACGGCCTCGGTTCCAACGGCCCAAAATTCGGATCCGAGCTCCTCCAAACCGGCATCTCCTCCAACGGCAAGACGCTCCCAGACCTTCTCCCTGGCGCAAGATTCATCTTCCCGACAGCGAAGCGCCGTCGCTCAAGCGCATTTCACCGCGCGAAACTAACCCAGTGGTTCGATATTGCGTCGCTGGATGACCCATCTCACCGGAGCCACACGCAACTGCAAGGTCTGGAAGAGTCGTACGGAGAGATCCTCTCCATCCTCAACCTGGAGGCTGAGGAAGTCTCACCCAAGAACGTCATCCTCGGTGGACTTAGTCAGGGTTGTGCGATGGCTCTAATATGTCTCCTTGCCATCGACTTCCCCATAGGTGGCTTCATCGGGATGAGCGGATGGCTACCCCTTAGACGTGACATTGAGCCCTTCGTCAAAGAAAGGGCCGAGGATTCCCCAAGCGACGAGGACAATCCATTTGGTGATTCGGATGGCGGCGAAGAAGAGGACGTGCCGGCAGACCCCGTGGTCAAGGTTGTCAGTTATGTCAGGGACTTGCTGGATATCGGCGACGGGAGTCCACCAAGAAGGGAGGCGTCGGCTATTCTCACGCCGGTATTTCTCGGCCATGGGGCCGCGGACGAGAAGATTCGCCCCGGGCTCGGAGAACAGGCTTTCGAAACGCTAAAATCCATCGGGTTCCAGGCTGATTGGACGAGCTATGAAGGTCAGGGTCATTGGTATAAGATTCCGGACGAGATTGATGACATTATTAGGTTCATTCGGACGAAGGTCGGATGGGCCATCGGAGAAGAAGGGGGAACTGTGGTCTAAGAAAAATACGAGCAATTTAGTGCTCTCCATGTAATAATTCACCAGCTTACCTATTGTTGGAAGTGTTCATTTTTCTTCGGAGACTCACCATGGAGCCTCAACAACCCCCTGCCCGCATTCTTCTTCACTTTCCCCCATTGCACCAAGCGGACCAGTCACAGAAGATCCTCCCGACGTCACGAATTACAAAAAGAATCAATTTATATCATCAAGTTGGCAATGCTCCGTGTGGAGCTTATATATTTTTCGATGTCCCTGCCACATCATGTAAACGCAGCCCTACCTTCACCTAATATACACGGCTCATAACCCTTCATCTTCTTCCATCCTTCCGCTTACTTCTCGAACCTCTGGGCAACAGTCTTCCAGTTAAGGACGTTCCAGATGGCATCAAAGTACTCGGCCTTGCGGTTCTCGTACTGGAGGTAGTAGGCGTGCTCCCACGCGTCGATACCCAAGAGAGGAGCAAGGTTACCGGTGACGGGGTCCTGGTTCGCGCGGGTGACAACGCTGAGGGTGCCGGTGGTCTTGTCCTTGACGAGCCAGGCCCAGCCGCTGCCCTGGATGCCGGTGAGGGCGGCGTTGATCTCCTTGCGGAGGGCGTCGAAGGAGCCAAAGTCCTCGTCGATGGCAGACTAGCACACACATTGCCGGTTAGCAACTGAGACCTCGGGAAATGAAAGGACAAATTGGCAGAAGAATATGAAGTGAAACCTACCCTGAGAGCACCAGAGGGCTCGCCACCACCGTCACGGCTGCTAGGAGCCAGGTTCTCCCAGAAGAGGGAGTGGTTCACATGGCCGCCACCATGGAAGTTGATGAGGGGAGCTTGCGCCGCAGCCTTGGTCAAGTCGCCCTTGGACTCGGCCTCGGCGATGGCCTGGAGAGCAGTGTTGAAGCCATTGACGTAGGTCTGGTGGTGCTTGGAGTGGTGGAGCTCCATGATCTTGGCGCTAATGTAAGGCTCGAGAGCATTGTAGTCGTCTACGGTGAACGAACGGAGTTAGCAATCGGTATCCTTTCCCCGGTTTTTTACTAATCCGACAGCAAGAAGAGTGACTCAAGCAAACGGGAGCTTTTGGTCCGCCGTTGCCGGGTTGTGTTGGGTATCGCTGACATATCCCGGATCGGATCTTGCTCGGAGCTAATCGGAAGCTGATACAGCATCATGAGAATACTAACATGGGAGATCAGGAAGAGTCGCCTGTCCGCGGGCAAAGCTGGTGCCGGAAAGAGCGGCGACGGGCCTCGCGGCGCCGGCCCTGAGGGCAGCTCGGAGAGCGGGAGTGGTTCGTAGAAGCGAGAAAGACATTTTTGTGTGATGTGATCGCGGAAGCTATGTAGCGGGCAGTCAAGGCAAAAAAAATTGTTAGTGGACAGCTTCAAGACAGCTGGGAGAATGGGTCTAGCGAGTGCGATTTGATGCGAATCACATACCTTTGCTATCAATTGAAAACGAAAGTCGACTCGGGGTTGAAGGGGGTTATAAGAGGAAGAGACCGGGTTGATGAATGGACGATGAACTGATGAAAGACACGAAGAGAGGAGAAGGTGGGAGAAATGTCGTCACACCTTTGGCCAATTGATAATATTCTGCTGCCAAGATTGCATCAACTGTCCGAAACTGGGGGGAGCTCTGACTTCACCAGAATTCGTACTTCGTCATCCAAAGAGCTTGTCTCCGCGGTAATGCTCGGTACTGAGGTACACTACATCTTCTAGCACATGTCTGGGGCGTGGCAAGAAGTACTGTGGCTAGTGGGGTAGAAGCTGTGGCGCAAGCTCCATTCAGTATTTGTAATACCCTGTTCCTTGATGTGTCTGCTGGGCAGCTGCCACGATTTCACCCCGCAGTGTGGACTTATTTAGATTTCCAGAGTCGCGTCTTCAAGATCGAAAAGATCGAACAAGAGGACCTCTTGAACATTCCCCAATTTACATCTTGCTGCAGCCACTGCATACAATTACTTTTCTAACACCTCCTATATACACCCGCTCACAATGTCCTACTACGACATAGACGCGATCCTCACAGAGGCAGAAGTAAGCACCATACCCCCCTCTTCGCCCGCCAACTCCCCAACCTTTTTCCCAACTAACACGCGACAAACCTCCAGAAAGTCCCCTGCAAATTCGAACTCGACGTCCCCGACCTCGGCCACCTCGACAACAACCCCTCCCAACCCCTCAAGTCCGGCACAAACCTCACCCTCCCCCTCTGGCTCGCCGAAATGCTCGCCATCTCCTCCACCGGCGAAGACGCCAAGCCCCCCGTAACCATGAGCCCCCCCGCCGCGCTCTCCACCGAAGTCGTGCAGGCCCTCAAGGCCGACCCGCGCGCCGTCCCGCTGCGCGATCAGAGCGCGCACTTTTACGGGTTGGGGACGCGGATGTTGGATTTATTCGAGGATAAGGAGCTCGCGGAGGTATTGAGGAAGACGTTTGTTGTTAGGGCTGCGGAGGTCGGATTGCATGCCGGGAAAGTAGGGGATGATGTTCCAGTGGGTGGGGCGGGGGAGGAGTTTCTGAGGGGGTTGGATGAGTGGGAGAGGGGGCTGTTTAGGAAGGCGCATGAGGGGGCGAAAGGGACGAAGGAGTGGATGGAGAATGTGAAGAAGAGTTGAGGTTGAAGAAGAGTTGAAGTTAGCTTTTTTTGGCCGGGCTTGTCGATAGCCCCGGCCTGCAACACACCGAAGGACGGGGTGAGCCTTGAGTTCGGCAGTTCGCTGCTACGGTTTCTTCTTCCCGAATCACGGCGATTCGAACATCAATCAACTCTCGAATATCGAACACTCTCGCCAAGTCACAGTGGTGTTCGCGACAACAATACACCAGAGAAAACGATACACAATCAATCTCAGTTTTGTTATTTGTCCCTCCAAGGAACGTATCACCTACGGAAAAGAGAAAGACGAAAACAGAAACAAACGCCAGCGCCGACCAAATAACTTTTCTTCGCCAACCCATGCTAGACCCAGCCCAGCTCTCAGCCATTTTCCACCAGGGGTATCGAAACACAAAAGCTCGCTCCCGCCTTTCAAATGCCCACCTTTACCCGCCATGCGAACATCCTCCAACGAAACAATACTACTCGGTCGATGCAGAGATAGCCTAGACATGACCGCGAAGCTCTCACGAATGGTGGTGGTTCTTCCAAACCTTCCACCGCCTCTGTCTCTCCCTCGGCTCCTGCGGCTCGTCAGCGACAAACTTGCCGAGTATCTTCCAGCCCTCGGGTGGGAGGTCGGCCGTCTCGAGACCGTCGTTGAGAAGGTCCAAGCAGACCCTCGAAGCTACGTTGATCTGTCAGCAACGCGACTCAAATTTCAGGCACGTGGACGGGAGGTAAAGAACATACGCATAAAGTCGGTGACCTCCCCCGTACTAGCAGCAGCCTGCATCCTCGCCGACTTATAGCACCCATACCGCTGCTGCAGTTCCACCATCCTCAACCACAATTCCCTCGTCGACTCGTCGTCGGTGGCTGACGAAATCCTCCGATGCGTCGAACCAGGCCGGTGATCTTCAGGTCCGGACCTCATCGACTGCGGCGGCGGAGGCGCGTCCTCCTCGCTCTCCTCGGCGGAGTCATGCGCCGTTCCGTGTGGTGCGCTCTGATGGTCTTCGTGGACCTTGCGGGCCGGCGCGATCCAGTCTGCGATGCGACCGCCGGGGTCGAGGGATGTGGAGGAGTGGCGAAGTGTGTGGTGTCGGGATTCTGTGTGGCTCATTGTGGGTGACTTTCACGGCTCTCGGTGGTTTCTTTTTTGTAACGACGAAAGAGGTTTGAGTAGACTCTTGGCGCTACTAGGATGGTATGGTTGTATGTATATAGAGTTGAGACCCTAGGATAAACGGACCGATGGACCTTTCGCAAGGGTGTGTGTATATTCAAATGTTTGAAGAATGGAGGTTTTGGGGAGAGAGAAATGAAAAGAAAGCCCAAGGACCACGAGGTGGCGATTGGCGGAAGGTACGAATATAAAGACTATGGTTCATGTGGTAAAGAAACTATGATCTCCAGTCTATTCCCGTTTTTAATCCTCGGCCTCTATCGAGTAATATGTTGCAAGCATAAAAGAGACATGCAAGTAGTTCACACGTTTAAGCGCATCATCCGGGAGTGACGGGTTGGCCCCCTACTTTTACGCAAAAACTGACCAAAGAAGAAACAAGGGATGAAGCGAGGAAGGGGGTGTGGGAAGCCTCATGACGTCTGTGTATCCGAACCCGGCGTCGGCCAGACACGTTTTTTATGAAAATAAGGGAAAAGAATGTAACGCGGTCTGGGTGTGGCGGATGTGTTGCTGTCTGTCCATTCTAGCGGCTACCGCCGATGTCAGAAAGAGAGAGTTTGGGGCTTGTGAAAAGGATATATTTAGGAGACTTTTTTTGCTGTGTTTTTCACTCTTGATGCTGGTGGCTTTTGTTCTGTTTCCACGTGGATCGAATCATCGGGGTTCGCATGACATCACGTCTACGTCGCCTCCCTCACCGCAACGCAACATGATTATTTTTATGTTTATTTTCAGGGCCCTTTACCCTCTTTGATTGAAGAAATTATTTACACTGATTTTTTAAACAAATTTACGGAAAAGCCCAAAATATCCCTCAAGGTGTCTACCGTCCATTCATGACCCCCTTCGCTCTGATAAGAAAAAAAAAAAAAATTGAAACGGAAAACAAGAGGTCATGCGAGCCATCCGCCCCGACACATCCGGCGCCGCCCGGGAGCCACCAAGGGAAAAAGTGTGGTGCCGGTCATGCTGCGTTTTAGAAAAATGAGGGGAGGGGAACGTGCCTATCACGATTTACACATAATGCTGGCATAATAATTTTTTTCTGGGGAAAGGTGAAAAAAAAGAGACAAGTCGCGGTCTGGATGCAGGCGTGGCCTGAGGAACCCCATCGAACGAGGCAATCGTACTTCTCCGCGCACCCGCGGGGCTTTCGCGGATCGGTCGGATAGATGAGAGATCGGAGAAGACGCCCATGAACATGAAAATACGAAGTAAGGAACGGCACAGGGACCCATCCAATCCTGGATCTGATGATTACCTATCGTAAAGAGGCGACAGGGCTGGGGGTGCCTCACCAAAAAAGAGGAAAGCCTCACCTTATTGACGTCGAGGTCGTTGCGCTTGAAGATTTGAGGTTAAGGTGATGATGCCTGACCAGCCACACCCTCCCTCTCGTCTCTCCGTGTCGAGGTCACAGGCGTCGGTGACGTCGTTGTCCACGCTTCGACTTCCGACTCCGTGGCGCCAGTCACACGCCCCCCCTCGTGCTGCCCTCCAGGACACTTCATCATGACCTCGTGTACCTTGCATAGGGGAAAAGGCAAAACAGAAGACCCATGGCGACACCGTTAGGATTAATTACGTTTTAATTACGTTTATTTCGCGAAGCATGCGCGTCTTGTGGAATTGGGTAGGTTTTGAATCTGGTGTAGGTCTCGTGGAGACCGCATGGAGATATCTTACTTTGAAAGTGAGACTTGCTTTACATCAACTCTTGGACACGGCGCGGTTGGGGGCTCAACGTCTACTTCTCGCTTGCTCAAATTGTTACTGTTTCAGTGCGTTGCCGAAAAAGTGCGGACCAACCGGAGGGATTCGGAAGACCCCCACTCCCGAACCCCGAACATTCCTCGGCGTGCGGGATGTGAGATCAAGGTTGCTCTCTGCTCTTTTTCCGGGTCTATGCATGCACATGTGCAGGAGCATTAAAAACACTCATGTACTGGAAATGAAGGAGTCTGTTTACGGCAGAATTATCTTCTTGTCTCGAGGCACAGAGAGTAAATCCGCAAATAAGAGAAACGTCCATTTGATCCGGAGAATTTGGCGGGAAAAGGGAAGCAAAAGTCTAATGCCCGAAACATGTCTCGCATCCTTCCTTCCAGAAGGAAAAGCACTTATGGACTAGTCAAGATAGACATCACTAAAGGAGATCGAGAGGAAAACCAAGAAATATCTTCTTCGCCATGAGAAGTATAGCCGAGGCATTAGTCTATTAGTTGAGCGACCAGGATGGCACTACCTCTGCCGGATACATTTCCTTCCCTTTGCCTTGATCTATATGAGAAGCCCATCCAGGGGCGGCTCTAGGAGTCCATTCCCTTAATTACTCCTCCACAAGGACTAACAAGAGCATGTGTTGCAACACATGCCCAATAATCATGTAGTCTCCGCAGCAAAGAAATCTCGTAACCGACGTGCTGGTATCAAACAAAACGCAACGTGCAAGCCAAAGGGTATAGTAGCAAAAGGAAAACATCAGGCTTCCACAAACTATGCCAGTCAAGGCGGGCAGATTAGGGAAGCAGACAAGACCTCAGAACCCACTGAGCACCTAAACCAAAAGCCAAATGATCACGAAAAACCAAAATGCTGCAAATCCAACAACAGCCAAGCTCGAGTAAACACTCATGGCACACACAACACACAACACACAACACACAACAGACAACGCACTCAACAGAAGAAAGCACATGGACGAGAACATCATATACTTCATTCAATCATACTCTCGATCCAATCTCTCCTTCACCACCACCACTCTCACCTCCCCCGAATGCAAAGGCCCAGCCAGTTCTTCCTCTCTCCAAGAGTGATGCACCAAGAAAACCAATCTCATGTTTTTTCTCTTGCCATAGCGCCCCATAAAGATCCCCCAAGTGATGCAGTGAAAATGCTAAACAAGATGCAATACCTATATATCACCAAGCGAGCGTCGGGGAACATAAAAAAAAGCCGAGGAAAAAGAGAAAACAAGTATCGAAAAAACGCCCGCCAGTGCTAACAAGAGAAATGCATCCCAAAAGTCCCTTGGGAATATCAAGCCAGTTGAGGAATCCGTCTATGGTAGTCCGAGCCGGAAAGATGCTGTTGATTCAGAAAAAAGAAGAAACAGAGAGGGAAATAGAAAAAGGATGCCGCATTACCACTGTTCTCCAGCGTGGTAAGGGCGGGTATAGGTTGACGTGTGTACGCGAGGCTGTATGTTTGTGGTGCAGATTCCCAGGAAAAACAAAAGTGGTCCAGACAAGAGTATACACCAGTGACCAGGGATATCCGAATTTGACTCCAGAATCGACCAAAATCAGACCGCAAGGAACAGATGTTTCGAACCAAAGTGGTGGACGCGGGCGCGGCATCAAAAGGTCCTTAATAGCTTAGGGCCTCGAGAACCGACGCGGGCACCGTGAAAAGGGATAAAAAGGGGTGTTTCAGTTCTTCTTGGAACATTGTTGCGCATCGGAGCTGCCGTGGCTGGACGAGTAATAGCAGGTCCGGTGCTGTATCAGGAAGTTAGTGCAAGTTCCACGCATCTCCTTCGCCAGTTCTAAGAATCAGGAATGACTTCGTACCCTTGAGCGGCCCCTCCTCTCCTCTTCGTCGGAGTACATGCCGCTAAGACGGCTTCTGTCCTCCTCGTACCATGTGCTCAGCGACTTTCCGCCAAACATTATGTCATCATCATCGATGGATATCGGCTCAATCCACTGGAACGAATCTGGGCTCATTTCCTTGCTGGAGTCGAGGTAGTATTGATGATCTGATGATGGGGAAGCCATGATTGCGATGGTTGTGTTTGAGTGGAAACGGATAGAGACTTTCTTGTCGCTGTGTTTTCGCGATGGCTATTCGCGATGTGGGTTCGTGTTTGTGGATGGTCTTCGCGCAGGTCGATGTTGTGCGACGTCGCAGATGGCGATCTCAACAAGGCGATGCGCGCAGGCTCGTCGTTGGGTGGGCAAATATAGTATCGAATACCGCCCGCCGAGTTTCTTCTTCGTCTTTGGAAAGTCTAAGTTCAGCCTTCCGTAATGTGTCTTGCGCCTCGATTGATGTAACAGATGGCGTCTTTATTGTGTATGTGGGTATCGTTGATTAAGGGGTGTGGTATCGTTCTAGTGTGGTATCGTATTGTATGGGTTGGTATGGTAGCACACCTCTTTTGGTGATGCGAGTCTTGATGAATCAAAATAAAAACTCCGCGCAATGAAGTAAAGAGTAAAAAGCGAAAAAAAAGAGCGCAAAGCAAAATAGATTCAAGACAAGGGAGGGCGATGGTCGCTTTAAGTTCCGTCGAAAAATTCTCTTCCCTTTCCCTGTTTTGCCTTCTTCCGGTATACTTTGTTCCCTTAGTCGGTAAGCGGGGGAGGGCGGACAGGTGGAGCTAAGGTTGGGCGTGGGTGGTGGCACTGGTGGGTGGGTGGCGAAGGGTTCTCGACGCGGTGGAACGGAATGCTTTCGGGGATCTCGATTCGAGGGGGGTGATGGGGGGGATGCTAACACAACGAGGCGTCTAGCTTGTTCGGATACCTCCTTTTCTTCGATTTCTTGCAAGAGGAGACAAAGTCTGCCGACACTTGAGATCGGATGGATTTTGCGGGGGAAGATAGTGGAGGTTTATGAAACTGATCGATCGGAGGGTTTACGAAGTAAACCTTGAAGGGGGGTCCTAGTCTTTTTGTAGGTGAGTAATAACAGATGGGCCGGGGAGAGTCAGAGGAAGAGTCAGATTTGGGGATCTGGGTTTCTGGGATTTTGGAGGACGAGAGGGCGGAATCCTTGATTGTGCAGGTTTTAGGGTGTTGCTCAATGTTGCTCAGGGGGTGGGGACAAGAAACGACAAGAGACGCCAAGAGCCCGGTCTGTCCAAGGGCCGCGGTGGTACGAAAGTACAGGTGGTACGAAAGTACAGGTGGTACAGCAGCGGTCTCTGGACTCTGTCTGGTGGGCAGTGGTACCGAAGTCGGGAGGATACGTACTGGTACAGGCCTATGGCAGAGCAGAAAAGGGAAGCAGCGACGCCGGACAGGGCAGCTGAAGAGGAAGAGGGTGTGAGGATTATTACTTGGTACAATTGTACGTGGGGTGTAGTGGGGTGTAGTGGGGCGCGAGGCTATTAAGGATCTTGTAGTGGTACCATTCAAGCCTACTGATCAATCGATCGGACTGATCGTACAGGTACTAGTCGATGATGGGGTTATTTGACGGTACAACTACACCGGAGAGTACAGACAATAGTAGTCTGGAAGGAGCAAATGGCAATGGCGGGGAAGGTAGTGTAGTGTAGCCTGTCCCAAGAAATGAGGAAAGCCGGATCCGGCACGTTTTGCGTTTTGCGTCTGCAGAAAGAGCAAACCAGAGGACAATGGAGGTGGAGGAGAGTTGCATTTCTCCCCTCCCGAAGCCAGAGCCTTCCTCCGACCAGAGAACAAGCAAATCGCGGGGTAACCATGTCCTAGTCCATCGTAAACGAAGAGGGGAAAATAAGAAGGAAAAAAAAGCGGAAGGGGAAAAAAGCACAGAAGGGCAGGCCACGGCCGTTGCAGCCTAGTGAGCAGTGTGTCGACCAACGATACCTGTTGGCTTACATGCAGATTTTCGTACGTTTCCGACGCCCTACATTGTTTAAGGTGCCCCGGACTATGCAACGATGGCGGAGGGCAGGGCTGCCTGGCCTCTTGCATGACCAACCTGCGGTTCAGACACCATCAACGGTGGCGGGCTGAATGATTTATTGGCTCGTAGTCTTTTCAGGGCCACCAAGCATGGAAGCCTTCTTTCGACACTTCATACTTCGTACAGACCACATTTGCCAGCTCACCAGGCCGGAAGACATCAAATATCGGCAAGCGCACTTCCCTCTTCCTCTTCCTCGTTTTTCGTCATCACATTTCTTGTCCCTCTGGTGATCTGAACCTGATAACCGCCTTAGGTTGCGAGGGTGGGCTCATTGCTTGCAGCTGTTTTGTGTGGTTCGATATGGCAGAAGGCGAAATGGGCCTCCCTGGTTTTTAGGTAACCATTTTAAAGGACCGGGGGATTGACTTGGGGCTTATATCGCTTTGCTGGATATACGTGTATCGAGGAGGTATTGCTGTTAGCGAAATCGGCTTCCGCTTTTGGGACACCATAATAACCAGCCAGCCCGTGGCTTCACCACTGCGTCGTGTTGGCCAGCCGCCGCTGCAGCCTGCGATTAATCGTGAATGATCTCCAGCTGCCAAGGTCGAAACGAGTTAATAAACGGAGAATGAGATATTGGGCACATGGATACTCTGGGTCTGCGAGACAGCGGTCTGCAAGACTCTTGTAACGACGCATCATCATTTTGATCAGTACGAAGTACATCGCCAGCTACCAGCGACCATCCAACCCTCACCATGTATGCAGTACCGTACAGCCTGGTCTCGACGTGGCAGACGCATTTGCGCCTGAGCTGCGGGTTGCCCCCTATTCGCCTCGCAGGCTACAGACAGACCCCTCCTTTTCTTTTCTATCTAGAGTATTACCTAGAACGACCACAATGCCCTCCCGCCCAAATTAGGTTCTCCCCGACATCTGCCTAGGCACTGAGGAGTGAGGAAAGAGAGCAAGTCCACCACAGCTACCGAGCTCACCGACAGGGACCAGACCAGAGTTGCCTGCCCACCAACCCGCGAGGCCTGTGGCGCTTTCTCACCAGGCGCTGTGCAAAACTAGTAGTTCTGACTTCGCAAGCATAGGCCCTTAGATCAGCCGACGTTCGATATATTAAAGTCGTCTTAGCCCTTGCAATCGACATGTCATTTGAAATTGGAGCTGGAGTGGTCGGCGTCATTGGCCTGACGATTCAGATCATCCAGGTCACTGTCCAATTCGGACTCGACTGGAAGGACGCACCGGACGACGCCAGAAGCTTCGTGGCTGAACTCCAGACTCTCAAAACAGTCTTATCGGAGACATACACGAATATCATTCTCAATGACGACTTTGCGGCCGCATTTCAAGGTCGACACTCCGCGTTGCTATCGGAGCTTGGACCATTAGCTCATGGTACAGATGCCATGACTATGATTTCAGCATTCGAAGTCGAGCTGAAAAGCCTGCTCGAAGACTTAAAAAAGCGGACCCAGGGCCGTCGAATTGGATGGGAGCGGCTGAAGGGGACTTTTCTGTCTACTAGAACACGAGAGGCCGTGGAAAATCTACACCGGAAATGCCAGGGCTTAAACCAGCTGTTAGCAATCGACTCTCTCGCACTCATGGTGGACATCCATCGTGAAGTAAAGGAAGGCAGGAAAGAACAACAGAAAATACATCGTGCGCAGTACCGCGCTCTCGATCACATACGTGACCGCATTGACAGCGAAGAAGCCACCCGCGAGCAACAGACAATCCTCAAATGGCTCGCCACGGTAGATTACGCTCCTCAACAGAACGACTTCATCGGCCGCCGACAGGAGGGAACTGGGCAGTGGCTTCTAGACTCAGAAGAGTTCAAGGCGTGGCTGCATGGCGAGAAGCAAACAATGTTCTGTCCGGGCATCCCTGGAGCGGGGAAGACAATACTAGCTTCCGTCGTTGTCGACGACCTCCGGGCCCGATTTCAGAACGACGAGCGCATTGGCATCATATACATCTACTGCAACTTCCGGCGACAGCACGAGCAAAAAGCCGAAGATCTTCTCGCGAATCTGCTGAAGCAGCTAGCTCAACGCCAACATTCTCTGCCAGACAGCGTGAAATCTCTCTACGACCACCATAAGGATAAGGGAACTCGGCCATCGATTGACGAACTTTCGAAAACTCTCCAGTCCGTGTCAGCCCTATATTCGAAGGTCTTCATCGTCGTCGACGCGTTCGACGAATGCCGAGAATCCTGCCTCTCGAAGTTCCTCCCTCAGATCTTCAACCTCCAGGCAAATTGCGGAGTGTATTTCTTCGCGACTTCGAGGTTCATCCCAGAGATCGTGGGCAAATTCGAAGAGAGCATACGGCTGGAGATTCGGGCCACTGAGCAGGATGTTCGCAGATATGTGGATGGCCACTTGTCGCGCCTACCGTTCTTTGTCCAAAGAAACCCAGACCTACAAGGAGAGGTCCAGACCGGCATTGTCAGCGCCGTCGGCGGCATGTTTCTACTTGCTCAGCTTCATCTTGACTCTCTGGTCGGGAAGAGATCCCCTAAGGCCCTTAGAACCACGCTTGCAAAACTGCCCACTGGTTCTGACGCATATGACAGTGCATACAATGACGCAATGGAGCGTATCCAAGGGCAGCTTAAGGATCAGGAAGAGCTTGCCAAGCAGGTTTTGTCGTGGATCTCGTGCGCAGAGAGACCACTCACGGCCACAGAGCTTCAGCACGCGCTTGCTGTGGAAGTTGGAGAATCAGAACTTGACGAAGAAAACCTTCCAGAGATCGAAGATATGATTTCGGTATGTGCTGGACTAGTCACAATTGATGAGGAAAGTGGTATCATCCGATTAGTCCACTACACAACGCAGGAGTACTTCCAGCGGACACAGGCACGGTGGTTTCCAACTGCCGAGGAAGAGATCACGATAATCTGTGCAACTTACCTCTCATTCAACGTATTTAAGAGTGGACCTTCTCCGACGGATGCTGCTTTCGAGGAGCGGGTACGGGTAAACAAACTCTACGACTACACCGCTCGAAACTGGGGTCATCATGCGCGCAAGGCTCAGCGCACCCGTCAAGAAACTGGAACCTCAGGTCATAAAGATTACATATATATGTGTACAGAGCCAGTAGGGAAGGTTGATAACGCAATTCAAGC